TCTCTGGAAGATTTTAAGGGGGACCTCCTGCCGTATTTCCCCTGGGGAGGGGATCCGCGTGGGACGGGTGGGTGCTACCTTCACTCTCTGCTTTATAAACTTCCAGGTCGTTTGCATTGGGCTAAGTTGATGAGTTTAATATCACTTTGTTTTGATTAAAACAAAAGGGGGTGGGGCAAGGTCCAGCGTCCAGGCTCTGGAGACATGGCCACTAGGCAGTGGGCACAAGAGGGGAAGGCCAAGGGTTCAAAGGCTTCCTGCCCCTCTGGTGTCACTTCCAACTGCTTCCTGAGCCGCAGCCCATCCCTGGCCCTGCTTGGCTGCCTGCCGGCATGGAAAACCACAGAGCAGGGGCCAGGGCCGGCAGGCAGGAAGCCTGATGAACCGACCGCTGGGGCTCAGGAAAGGGGGACCCCCTTGCCAGAGGTCCCCCGGCAGGCTGGAGGCTGGCTAGGGTGGGGCATCCTGTGGTCAGCCCTTCTCCCTGACCCAGGCCAATGGCCTCTGGAAATGAGGGTGCAGCAGCCCAGCTCCTGGACCAAATCCGGACCTGGAGCTCCCCCCTCAGGCCTGTCATGTCTCGGGGCCCAGACTCATGCCTAGAGGCTCTGTGGTGGGGGCTGGCTCACCATTCCCGGGCCTTGAGGAATAGAGTGAAGAAATAAATGGAGCCACTCTAGTCAGGCTGCTAAATTACTGAAATCAAGTAGGTTGAGGTATGAGGAAATGATTCTATTCTTGCTTTTACTGGGAATGTAAGCGTTTAAGTCCTGCATCAATGCCTGTACATACACGGAGCCTCCAGACAGCCCTCTGCTTGTGCCCCGAAGGATAAGGAAAGGATGGCCATGGACCCAGACCGGCATGGTGAGCGCCAGTCACAGATCACACCTGGCACCTGCCAGCGCTGAGATGCAGGAGTGCTTCCTCTCCGGAGTGGGCTTGTTACTGAAGGACCCTCAGCTTTCCTTCCTTCCTCGGAACAATCTGGCTATGGCCTAACTGTCTTCCCAGTTTGCAAGCCCCAAGACTCTTGAATAACCAATTTTTACCACTTATTTCTAGCCAAAGCCTCCAAACTCTTTTTGAGTTCGCCCGGCAGCCCAAGAACAATAACAACCACTTCAGTAACGACGAGGATCAGAAAACATCAGCTCCCACGCGTCACGTGCTTTCTCCTGTGACAGCACTTTGCGAACAAACCCCCTGAATCCTTCAAGCAGCCTGTGAGCCGGGCGCTGCCGGTACCACCACTCTCAGGAGAAGCGAGGCTGAGTGTGCACGGGGCCCGGGGTGACTAACCACAAGCCGTTCCGCTCCGCAGCCCCAGGCCTGCCCTCGCCCGTGGCGGGGACTTCTCGGATGGGTGGCTGTGGTCACTTCTGCGGTGCCCCCACCCCTGAGCCGCTCCCCATGGCCTCTGTTTCCGCCCTTCCTGCCCCAGGGTGGGGATCCCAGGCGTGACCTCCCTTCTTGCGCTCAGCAATCTGTGCAGTTAGGATTTTCCCCTCCCACAGGTCCCGGAAAGAGTCCTCAGAGACCTCAGCTGCCACCCTCGCTCTCACTTTACAGAGACGGAAACCAGGACCCATCGAGGGAACAGGACTTGCCCCAAACTCCCCACTGGGTTCTGGGCGGAGCCAGGGGAGGAGCCGCTCTAGTCAGGTTGCTAACTTACTTACTAAAGTCAAGTAGGTTGAGGTTTGAGGAAATGGTTCTATTCTTGCTTTACTGGGAATTTAAGCTTTTAAGTCCTGCATCAATGCCTGTACATCCACAGAACCTCCAGACAGCCCTCAGCTTGTGCCCCGAAGGATAAGGAAAGGATGGCCATGGACCCAGACCACCCGACGCCCAGAGGCCGGGGACTGCAGCCTCTCCCTCCAAAGAGGCGGGAGAGCCGCTGGGCGAGGGCCTGCACACAGCAGCTGCTCCACAGCTCTCGTTCCCAAGCCCTGGGCGGTGCCTGGTTCTTCGGGGGCAGAGATGGGAGCCGGCAGACTGGCCCAGGTGCCCTGGACCTGGGTGCGGACCAGAACCTGCCAGAACCAAGTCCCTTTCCTCTCCTGGCGAGAGGTTTGGTGAGAGTTGCTGGCCTGGCCCCACGTTCCTACCTGGACAGAGGCTCCTTAGGACACCTCCAGGCTGTGATGCTCACCTGGCTTCCCCTCTGGCCCCAGGAGGAGGAAGTAGAGGTCCCAGCTGGCCTGCTGAGGGGACAAAGGAGCCAGGATGTGGACAGAGGCCCGAAGAGGGGCTGCACACCAGGGTGCTCCCACCACACTCCTCAGAGCTGGGAGGCTCCTGCCCCAACTCACCCCCGGAAGCTGCAGGAGCTGCAGTGGAGAGAAGGGGGTCCCCCACGAGCCCTCTGCAGGCCGGCCAGGAGCCACCAGGAAGAAGTGTTCCTGGAGGAAGTAGCTGGGGTGGCTCCTGCCAGGTCACAAAGCCCAGAAATACATGTTACTTGGACCAACCCAGCAATAAACACCCGCCTGGTGGCAGGGCCAGGACAGAGGCACCTCTGTCCCTGCACCCGAGGGTGAAGCCAGTGTATTCCAGGGAAGGGAGTGGGAGGAGGCGACCGCCTGGGCGGGGCGTCAGTTTGAGTCCATCAGGACCAGCGGCCCTGGGCCCTGGAGCCCAAGGACGAGGCTGTGAGCAGGGGGATTGATGGCAGTGGGGGTCCTCACACCCATCTGTCACCGCCAAGGACGATGGGTGAGCAAGGCGACCCTCACCTATCGAGTGTCAGCCCTGGGACAGCCACCTCCCTGAATTCATACTGTGAGGGAAGGACGGCTTTTGTACGTCGGGCTCAGCTCTCAGGCCCAGAAAGAGGCACTAATCCGCCAGGTTCCCACGGTGGGAAGCAGTGCCAGAATGAGGTAGGTCTGGCTCCAGAGGCCTCCCTAGACGCCCAGTTCCTCCACCAGCCCCCTGCCCGCCAGGCCACACACCCCTTCCTGCTGCCCGACACCTGCCCAGACCCCACCGCTGCCAGCCCAGCAGCTGTGGTCCAGCTGCCAGCCTGCCTCCTCTCCCCCAGCTCAGGGCTCTCTGCCCTCCGCCCTCCTCCCCCGCTTGCAGGGCCTTCTGGGCCTGCCGGGCACCGGGCAGGGGGAGGCAGGCACCAAGGGCCAGATGCCAGGCCTGCAGCCTCTCTTGAGAAGGTCACCCACACTCCCTCGCACAACCAGCTGCAGAATGTGTGGGGCCCAGTACAAAACGAAAACATGCCGCTCCTTGTTAAAAACACACACAACTCAGTAGAACTTCAGGTCGGCACCAGCAGCTAAACCAGCGTAGGGCCCTCCGGGTCCCATCCCCATGAGGAGGCGACTCCTGGAACTGAAGCTGGAGCCCCGGGCTCCATCCCAGCCGGTCCTCCATTAGCCAGTCTCCTGGTCTCCGATGAAGGAAGGTGGGAGGGAGGGAGGGAGGGAGGGAGGGAGGGGTGTGAAGCCCTGTGGCTCCTCCCAGCCCCTTGGTTCAGGGCCCAGACGTCGGGCTCAGCTCTCAGACCCGGGGCTCCATCCTGGCTTCACCTGCTCTGTGAAGGGGGCTCCCAGGGCCCCTCTGCCCGGTGGCTGCACGCCCTTGCTGGCTGTTTGCTGGCGGGCAGGCTCTTGCCACATCCCAGGTGAGGGGAGTGAAGCTCAGAGAAGGCAAGCGTCAGGCCTGCCCCCTCCCCCCCCCCCAGCCTTCCTTTCTTGCAGTGTAACCAACCCCAGTTAATAGGGAATTTAACTGGCACGTCCTTGGAATGTGACCCTGGACCAGGGGTGTGGCGTGGGGTAGAGGAATTTCCTTCCCACCCTGAGGCGTTTCCTTCCAGGCCCGACTGTCCACCCTCTGCCCACTGGGTGCAGGCGGGCGCCCCAGGGAAGCCTCTGAGTCGGGACAGGCCAGCCTCTCTGACCTGGTGGGGAAGGGGCAGGCTCTTGGGGAAGCAACTCGCAGGCAGATTAAAGGGCCAGAAGCCCAGCCAGCTGTGGGTTTGGGGAGGGGCCCAGGACCGGCCTGCCCTCCGGTCCACAGGTTATGGGATTGTGGCCGGGCGAGGAGCCCCGCTTCTTACCCCCAGACACATAACCACACTGCAGACAGGGTTCCAGAAAACACGTTTACCCGTACACTCGAGGTGGCCCTGGCAGGTCACAGTTCAAAGGCCCCTTCACCCAACAAACACCAAGCTCTGGGCTGCCCTGACCGGGGCAACCAGCTTGGGAAGTGTGGCACCAAAGGTGGTGGAGGGGGAGTGTAGAGAGGAAGGGCCCGGGCTGGTACAAGGTTGAAGGTCACGAAGCTGGTGAGTGGGGGACCATCAGCCCTGGGAGCAAAGGCCACTGGACAGACACTGAGGTGGGATGAACCCCAAAGTTAAGATTCAGATTATTTCCCGGCCGGCGTGGCTCAGGGGTTGAGTGTTGACCTATGAACCAGGAGGTCATGGTTATGCCCAGGTTGCGGGCTCGATCCCCAGTGTGGGGCGTGCAGGAGGCAGCTGATCAATGATCCTCTCTCATCATTGATGTTTCTCTCTCTCTCTCTCCCTCTCCCTTCCTCTCTGAAATCAATAAAAAATATTAAAAATAAAAAAAGGTTCAGCTTATTCAGGGAGTGGGGGTGGGAGGAGTGTACACAGGTCACCATGGCCCCCTCTTCTCCCCTTCAAGTCTGGAGGCCCGATGGGGCTCCAGGTGTCCCCACGGCAGGGCAGGAAGGAGCCGTAGGTCCACCCGGCATGTGGCAGAGGCAGGATCCATAAATTAAAGGTTTTGGTTGAGTGAATGGAACGGAGGCCTGGCACAGGCGGTGCGGCCGGCTGGGCAGCGGCGCTACTGGGTCCGCCAGGACGGGTGGGCGAACACGATGGGCCTCTTCTTGGCCCAGCGGGAGAACACGGCCTTCTCGGTGATGAAGCGGTGGGCGCTGCGGGGCGCCTGCTCGTGTGCCAGGTACATCTGACACTCGTCTAGCCGGCCCTTCTCGAAGTAGTGGTAAGGCACTGAGGGGTGGCTCTTTTCCCTGTGGGTGGGGAACAGGGACAGGTGTGGGCACCAGGGCTCTCCAGCCTCCTGCCAGACCCCGCACTGACCTCGGCCACCCTCACCAGGTACTCCAGGCTCCCGGGGTCCCATTCCTGTCCCAGGGCAGGCCGGGACAGACGGAGGAGGAGGAGGAGGAGGAGGAGGAGGAGGAGGAGGAGGAGGAGGAGGAGGAGCAGGGCAGGAGGAGCAGGGCAGCGTATGCATCCCAAAGGCCAGCATTTGATCCCCAGCTCCGCCTCTTGCAAGCTGGCTGGCTAGAGGGCAGAGGCGTACCCTATAAGCCTCCATAAGCCATCTGTAAAATGGGAACGGTGATATCCACCTTGCATGCTGAGTCCACAGGTCAAAAAGACGAAGCCTACAGCCCAGCTGGCGTGGCTCAGTGGTTGAGCATCGACGTATGTACCAGGAGGTCACGGTTCAATTCCCAGTCAGGGCATATGCCCGGCTGTGGGCTCAGTCCCCAGTGTGGGGTGTGCAGGAGGCAGCTGATCCATGATTCTCTCTCTCATCATTAATGTTTCTATCTCTCTCTCTCTCCCTCTCCCTTCCTCTCTGAAATATATTTTAAAATAATAATAAAATCAAATCAATGAAAACATATTTTTAAAAGAGTTGACGACTACGAAGTGCCTTGCTGGTGCTAGGCTCCTGGTAAGGAACCCCATGCCCTGTGACACCCACCCACCTACTCGTTGGCATCATGCCCGTAGGTGTTCTGCCCAGGTGCCTCGGCAGAGGGCACACAGGCTCCTGCCAACTCACCCACGTGCTCAACAAATAAGTTCCAAAGAGAAGAGAGGGTGAAAGCATGGGACCTTCTCTGGACTTATTAGTCACAATAGTACTGAAACAGAATGATATCTAAGGTAAAAACTCGGACGTAATATGTCACGTACATGCACTCGGCCCCAATGTTGCAATAAGTACTTCTATAAGTTATTCTCTCTGGAAATGTTTGCATCACCTTCTGAAGAAGGTGTGATTGTTTTCTCTCTCACAATAAGGGAATGGAGGTGCTGGGAGGTGGCGTGTCTGGCCTAAGGCCACACGGGCAGAGTGGAGATTGGCATCGAGCCAGTCCCAGAGCCGAGTCCCTTCCCCCTGGGCACCAGCTCCAGGGATGTCCATGCCTCCACCACCCACCCGGAAGCCCACACACCCTGCGCCCCACAGCTCCCAGGTCCTCCAGCGCGAGGCCCACGGTCCGCCCGGCCTCCCCAGCGCCCCTCCTGCCCCATCCTGGCCGGCCTGACCTGCAGTAGCTGTCGCTGACCATCCCATAGACTGCGATCTCCTCGCATAGCTCCAGGGCAAGGATCATGGTGAACCAGCCGGTGCTGAGGAAGGAGCCCGACTGCCTCCTGGCAGGGAAAACACAGTCAGAACAAGGGGCTGGTGGAGGCCCTCGCCTCGGCTCTCTCAAGGCACAGCCCTGGCTACCCTCCCCGCTGAAGGCCACCCACCTTGACCCCCACAGAGGGGTCCTGGGGGAGGCCGGGGAGGGGACAGAGCCGGCCCGAGGTCTGCAGCAGGCAAAAGGCAGAGCTGGACACAAACCCAGATCTGTTCAACCCTCACCACCCACGCAGGGCGTGAGCAAACCTTCGGAAGATGGGAGGGGGCCCTGGCCACATCCTCTCTGGATCTAAGGGACGAAGCTTGGGGAGAGAGCAGGAGGCAGCAGAGCAGTGGTTGAAAGTGGGAAAGGGGGTGGCCTGAAGTCAAATGGTCTTTGATTCAAATCCTGTACCTGCTCTGAAGTGTCTGATTTGCTCATGAACCTCTCTGAGCCTCAGTGACCCATCTGTGAAATGGGGATAATTATAGGTGGCTATGGGGAGGGAACACTGTCAGCCCAGGAGCACTCCCATGCCTTTACTAGTTCACCGAACTCGGAACAAGACCTTCACTCACTCAGACACCAGCACTGGTTTCTCTCCCATCTGAGGGCCACTCACCTCCACCTCTAAGAGGCATTATGAGGTGGTTCATTCACTCAAACTGGACTCTGCCTACCCTCCTCTCAAAGGAGGAGGCAGCTGGGAGAGAACAGCTGAGAAGACAAGGCAACAAAGGAATAAAGAGTATCAGGTGGGAGGTGTCATCAGATGGGGTGATCAGGGAGGGCTTCTCTGAGGAGGTGACATTCCACACAGGCCTAAATGGCAGGAAGGGGTTAGTCATGGGAGATTTGGGGGAAGAACACTGTAGGCAGAAGGAACGACGTATGCAAAGGCATGAAGGCAAGAACCAGGGTGGATATGCGAGGAAGCGCAGATGGCCAGTATGGCTGGAACAGGACAGGCAGCAGCCAAATCATACAAGGCTTGTAGGCCAGGGGAGGAGAGAAGGTGGAGTCTGGACTTTATTCTCCATGGGAACCGAAGCTGCTGTGAGGTAGAGGGCAGGTGACTGATTGGGTGAATTCGCTGGGGAGGCTGGAGCGCACACTGTAGGATTCAGCAACACCAAGGAGGAGGTGCTGCAAGGGCGTGGGGGACGGGGGGACGGTGGCACCTGTGAGAGATTCAAGGTCCCATTGTGTGTGGCGGGTGATGGAATGAGGGGAGTTGGGTGGAAATCTGGGCGCTGCAGCTGTATTTCCTGAGCTGGGGAGGGGGGCCCAGGAGGAGGAACAGGTGTGTGGAGGAGGTGGCCGGGGTGGAGGGAAGAGCTCCCTGACTGCCCCACGATGGTCAGTGCCCCTCTCCACCGCCTCGAGCTATGTGATAATCTGATGAATGACGGTCTCTCTGATCCCCTGAGAGGGCAGAGCCACTTCTGCCTCCGTCACTGCTGTCCCCGGCCACCAGGAGGCCCCAGCAGGCAGGCCCAGCTCACCGGTTCTTGCCCGTCTCGTTCTGGAAGACCTGGTCGCAGTAGGCCATCATGCGCTCGGTGAAGGTGTACACCTGCAGGCCCGGGTACATCTTGGTGAGCTGCAGCAGCGTGCGGTAGGTGCGGCCGCCCAGCGTGCGGTCCATGTTCCGCCCCTGGCCCCACACCACGTAGAGCGTGTCGCGGGCCTGCTGGAAGTAGTGCGAGTAGTTCCGCAGCAGCAGCGGCACGGTCGTGTGCGAGATCACGCGCAGGGTGCTGCGCTGGCCCACGTCCGCCTCGAAGCCCACGGTGGGCGCCTGGTTCATGCGTAGCACGCACTCAGCACCGTCGATCTGGGTGCCCAGGCCTGAGCCCAGCATCTGGCCGGAGCTGGACACCACGGCACAGCTGTGGCACGGCCCTCGGACCAGTGGCTGCAGGGGGAGAGAGGGAGGGAGAGAGAGAGAGATAGAGAGAGGTGAGGGCACATAACCTCCACTCTCTGCTTCCTCCCCCTAGAAACATCCACTGACCTCACTTGATCTCTGTATCAAAGTATCAAATTATTTTATCAACCCATTTTACAGATGAGAAAACTGAGGCTGAGCAGGTGGAGTGATTTTCCCAAGGCCATACCCACAGCAAGTGGCAGAGCTGAGGTTCTGGTTCAGAGCCCTATGCTTTTCATTAGCCACACACAGCCCTTGTCCCTACTGCTGAGGCCCCAACCAGCTCTTCATCGTGAATTCGTTAGTAGGGTTACATGAGCAAATATATATAAAGCACTTAGCACTGTCTGGCACAGGCTGGGTGCCCTATATGTGTTTGTCCAGTAAATATAAACTCCAGCTCAAAACCATTCTTAGTCACTCCTTCCTCTGCTGAGCCTCACTCATGTGTCCAGTTTAGTAAGTAAAACAGAATCTTTAGCCCCGGCCGGTGTGGCTCAGTTAGTTGGGTGCCATTCCAGGCACTGAAAGGTTGCTGGTTTGATTCCCAGTCAGGGCACATGCCTGGGTTACAGCTCAATCCCCCATAGGGGGTCTGCTGAAAGCAGCCTATCCGTGTTCTATTCTCACATCGATGTTTCTCTCTCTCTCCCTTTCCCTTCCCCTCTCCCTAAAAGTCAATTTTTAAAAAGGTTTTTTTAAGCAGTCTTTAGTGTCCACAACAATGTTGGGAACCTCTGGTTCTGAGCCTGAATCCTGGCTCAGCCTGTTCCTAGCTGCATGGCCTTAGGCAAGTCATTTTGCCTCACTGACTCTCAATTCCCTTAGCAGTAAAATGGGGATAAAAATAGCATCTACTTGACCAGGTTTTGAGGATTCAATTAAAAATGCCTGGAGAGCCCGGCCGGCATGGCTCAGTGGTTGAGCAGCCACATATGAACCAGGAGGGCACGGTTCGATTCCTGGTCTGGGCACATGCCCAGGTTGCGGGCTCCATCCCCAGTGTGGGGCAGGGCTGATAAATGATTCTCTCTCATCATTGATGTTTCTATCTCTCTCTCCTTCTCTTCTTCTCTGAATCATAAACAATATATATATATATATATATATATATATATATATATATATATTTAAATGCCTAGAGCAGCGGTTCTCAACCTGTGGGTCGCGACCCCTTTGGCGGTCGAACGATCCTTTCACAGGGGTCGCCTAAGACCATCCTGCATATCAGATATTTACATTACAATTCATAACAGTAGCAACATTACAGTTATGAAGTTGCAACGAAAATAATTTTATGGTTGGGTCACAACATGAGGAACTGTATTTAAAGGGCCAGAGGTTGAGAACCACTGGCCTAGAGAGCTATGGCACAGAGTTAGGACACAATGAGGGCCCAACCCCCATCTCATTATCCCCCAAGAGGCAGAAGCTGAGCCAACCAGCCTGCAAATATTCACTTGGGGTCAGGGTTGGGGTCTCCCAGAACAGGGCTTGTTCCCCGCCCCAGGCCTCCGTGCCCTGCTAGGGGAAGGCGGTTTACGGAGGCCAGTAAAGGCTATGGAACATTAATTCCAGTTGATAAAAGACACACTGTCATATCCCACTCAGGGACACTTCATATCTAACATGTTGATTTAAGAACTCGTAGAACCATTTCCAGACCCAGCCATAAAGAGCAAGACTCCCTTCTTCTGCCCTCAGTTTAGCTTGTCCTGACAACTGGGGTCTGTTCAGATCCAAGGTCACAGCCAGCCCCAGGGGGTGTTCCGCTTGTTCCACAGTCTTTAAAATATTTAATTATTCCCTAATTTATAAAACCAGCCCCCGTGACAGTCAAGACTTGGACTTCCTGCTTCTCTGAACAAACCCAGAGGATCTGGCCACCCTGAGGCCACATCCCCATGAGCTCTGAGAGTCTGAAATGAACACTGGTCACCACCTTGGCAGGGTCCCCCCAGGCCACCCCAGCATTTGCCCCCCCCACCTGGCCAAACCTAAGGGGCACCCAGCTGAACCTTCACAGCAGCCCTACAGAGAGAGAAGCTACAACAACCTCCTTTACAGATGAGGAGGCAACAGACTCAGAGGAATGAAGACCCAGAATAGGTCTCCTCCAAGCCAGGGTCCCTGAGCGCACCTCCCTGCGACCAACACTCAGAGAACCTCCAACTCAGAAATGGGCCTTCGAGAAACCGACCACGTGGGGCCACTGAAGTCAGGGTGAGGGGTGTAAAGTGCTCTGACCTCGCCCGGCAGAGCTGGCATGGGGAGGTGGGTGCGGTTAGGGCAGGGGCACAGCTACCTCGACATCCCTGTCTGTCCGTGAGAGGGACAGCTCTGGGTTGTCATGACCTTTCCCTGTGGCATCTCTATCCCCAGCAGCAACCAGCACAAGGCGAGGCACATTCAAGGCGCCAAATACACGCTTGTTGAACGAGCGGCTTGTGTGTCCACGGGTAAATCTGAAGATGCACACAGCACGCCTCTCAGCAGGACGCTGAGTTGTCTGTCCGTCTCCCCGCTGGAACAGGAGCTCCAGGAGGCCAGCCACCCCCAGCACGCAGCTGACAGCAGCCAGGTGATGTTTGTTGAATTAAAAAACCCATTTCCTCAGCATGGAGCAGAGTGCAGAATCTCGGAGGGAAGGCAGGGGAGGGTGGGTGCGTGGGGAGTCATCAACCAAGAACCTTGTATGCATATAGGCATGGCTCATGGCCACAGACAACGGGGCGGTGAGGGCCTGGGGGAGGGGGGTGCTGGAGGGGTCAATGGGGGGAAAAGGGGGACATATGTAATACAACAATAAAGAATTATTTTTTAAAAAAATTTTTAAAAATCCATTCCTCTTAGAAATTGGGGCTCAGAGAGGTGAAGTGATTGTTCAACACCACACAACTGGTGAGCAAAGGCGCCCAGCCAGGTCCAGGCTGCCCTGGCAGGAGCCCAGGTCTCACTACCCCCGGCATCCTTGGCCTGCCCCCGACATGCTGCCTGGCTGACTCACCTTCCCATCTGGCACTCGGCTATATCCACTGAAGTGCAGGGGCCCTGGCGCTGTGGGCCTGGAGTTGGAGAGGTGGGGGCCCAGGCAGGAGGCCAGGCAGAAGGGCAGGCAGGCCCAGAAGCACAGCAGGATATAGGCAGCAGAGAAGCCCGCAGAGCACAGGATGACGAGCAGGAGCCGACCCTGGGGAGACAGCGGTCATAGGTGGGGATGTGGGCAAAGTAGGAGGATGGCGGCATAGGCAACGCCCATACTCACCGCCTCCCACAACCACATTAAACTTACAACTAAAATACAGAACAACCATCATCCAGAACCGCTGGAAAGCTGGCTGAATGGAAGTCCTACAACTAGAGAAGTAAAGAAGAAAGCACACTGAGACGGGTAGGAGGTGCAGAGGCGCGGAACGGGCTCACATGTGCCACTTTTTTAATTGGAAGAGAGATGGTCTCAGCAGAGGCTGCCCGGAGGAGCAAGGGGTCCCAGCCCCACACCAGACCCCCAGCCCAGGATTCCACAGCTGGGAAAAGAAGTCCCTACAGGCAGTAAGAACTACGGGCTGTACAAACCAGTGTGGATTGGGGCTCAGTGACACGGAGGTTACTGGAGACCCAGCTGTTCCTCTTAAAAGGCCGGCACACAAAATGAACTTACAAGGCCCTGCTTCCTCTGAGCTCCAGCACCAGGGCGAGGCTTTGGGGAAACCAGACACATACGAGGAGGAACTGGATTGTCTGGCATCGGGGCAGGAACTCAGAGGCGGCTTTCTCCCAGACGGAGGTGCTCACAGGGATCATTGTTCCTATGCTGGCACCTCCCCGGTCAGGGCTGACTGGCAGCCATTTCCGTTTGCTCTGCCCTGGTGATTCCTTAAGACCCGGTCTCATCCAATTTACAACCTCACCCCAACCTGAAAGCAGCAGCTTTTGCATATGAATGGCCTGTCCTTGCTCAGGCTAAAATCTGAAACAAGCTGCAGCTGGGTCAGGGAGCCCCAAACTTATCAATAAAAGGCCCAAGGCCAGCACCAGCATCAGCCTGCCTTGCTTCACAGCTGGGCCTCATCCAGGAGCTTCCAAACCTGATACAAAGAGGAGGAATCTTCAGATTTCTCTGTAGCTCCCGCTGGGTGGCCCCAGGCAGTGGCTGACTTTGCACCTCCTTAGAGACCCAAGAGCCAGTGTACCCAGTGGTCAGTGTCAGACCATACCAGATTACAACTCTACACATCCATAAGCAACACACTCAAGGGGCAGACTCAGTGAGCACCAAAGCCCCACTGAAACAAGTCCTGCTCCATAGGGGTGTCTCCTGTATAGCAACTCTCCCACCACAGTTACAGCTGGTCCTCTCAGCCAATTGGCCTGGAGGTCAATTCCTCCCAGTGACACCAATAGCAATCAAGTCTCAACTACAACAAGACTGTGCTCACAGCCCACAAAGGGGTGCACCTAGAGCTCCCAGCTCAGGTGAATGGAGAGGCTGAGGCACTGGGCCCTATAGGACACCTACTACACAAGGCCACTCTACCAACTCAAGGAGACATAGCAGCTCTACCCAATACATAGAAACAAACACAGGGAAGCAGCCAAAATGCAGAGACAAAGAAACATGTCACGAATGAAAGAAATGGAAGAAAGCAAAATACTGAATATAGAATTCAAAACCACGGTTACAAGTTTACTCAAGAATCTTCTACAAACTTCAAAAATCTTCCATTTCCAAAAAAAAAAAAAAAAGGAAAAATTTAAGCATACACTGACTGAAATAAAGAATAATATACAGGGATTCAATAGTAGAGTAGAGGATTCTGAGAATCAAATCAACGATTTGAAATATGAGTAAGCAAAAAACACCCAACCAGAAGAGCAAAAAGAAAAAAGAAACCAAAAATATGAAGATAGTGTAAGGAGCCTCTGGGACAACTACAAGCATACCAACATTCACATTATGGGGGTGCCAGAAGAAGAGAGAGAGCAAGATATTGAAAACCTATTTGAAGGAATAATGACAGAAAACTTCCCCTACCTGGTTAAAGAAATAGACTTACAAGTCCAAGAAGCACAGAGAACCCCAAACAAGAGGAACCCAAAGAGGACCACACCAAGGCACATCATAATTAAGATGCCAAGGGCTAAAGACAAAGAGAGAACCTTAAAAGCAACAAGAGAAAAGCAGTTAGTTACCTATAAGGGAGTACCCATACGACTGTCAGCTGATTTCTCAACAGAAACTATGCAGGCCAGAAGGGAGTGGCAAGAAATATTCAAAGTGATGAATAGCAAGAACCTACAACCAAGATTACTCTACCCAGCAAAGCTATCATTTAGAATTGAAGGTCAGATAAGAGCTTCACAGACAAGAAAAAACTAAAGGAGTTCATCACTATCAAACCAGTATTATATGAAATGTTGAAGGGTATCCTTTAAGAAGAGGAAGAAGAAGAAAAAGGTAAAGATAAAAATTATGAACAACAGAGTGACAACAAGTGAATCTAAAAATCAAATTAGCCCTAGCCGGTTTGGCTCAGTGGATAGAATATTGGCCTGCAGACCAAAGGGTCCCAGGTTCGATTCCAGTCAAGGGCACATACCTTGGTTGCAGACTCCTCCCTGGCCCAGGTCTGGTCAGGGCGCATGCAGGAGGCAACTAAATCTATGTCTTTCTCTCACATCAATATTTCTCTCTGTCTTTCCCTCTCTCTTCCACTCTCTCTAAAAATCAATGGAAAAATACCCTCAGGTGAGCATTAAAAGAATAATAATAGGTGGAACAATAAATTGATGTCTCTCTCAAATAAAAAATAAAAATAAATAAATAAATAAAAATCAAATTAAACAAATGAGAAATCTAATGAACAGAATAAACTGGTGAATAAAATAGAATCAGAGGCATGGAAAATGGAACAGACTGAGGATTCTCAGAGGGAAGGGGGGTGGGAGGGTGGAAAGAGATTAAACAAAGATCTTATATGCATATATGTATTACCATAGGGTGGCGAAGGCCTGGGGTGAGGTGGGAACCAGGTGGAGGAGGTCAATGGGGGGGAGGGGGGGAAGAGGGACATCTATAATAATCTCAACAATAAAGATTTTTTAAAAAAAAATTTTAATAAATAAATAAGGTGGGGATGTGGGTCCCTGGGGTTCCTAGAAGCTTCTATAGGGGGGCTTTAACCCAGCTTCATGGGTCCAAACTCCAGCTCAGTAGCTCCTAGAACATCAGCAGAATCTAAAGTCTCCATTAACCAGGCCTTCTTCTGGGCTGCCAGGCTCCGGGCACAAGAGGCTCTGGAGAGAAGCCTTATGTTCTAGATGAAAGGGATCTGAGTGACGTGTGTAACTCAAATCCATACAGCTAGAAAACAGCGTAGTGAGACCTCAAACCCAGGCTGCAGAGCCCATGCTCTTAAGCAGAAGTCTGTGCAGCCTGGGGTACGTCTCCCCACCTCTCTGGGCCTCTACAAAATAGGGGCGAGTGTGAACTTGCAGCGGTGGAAGTGCTTGGTATACTGTGAAGTACTGGGCACGTGAGGACAGGAGAGTGACCGTCAGCAGTGCAACCAGCCCCCTTCAGACCCTGGACTGTGGCTGCCAGGATGGCCATCCTCCACCGCTCCACCCGCTGACTCAGTAGCAGTCCGCCAGGCTGATGATCATGATCTGGGTCAGCAGTCTAGGTGAGTAGGGAGGTCAAGGAGGGATGTGTGGGAAGTGTCATTCAGGAAGTGGTTGCCCTGGCTGGGTAGCTCAGTTGGTTAGACCGTTAGAGCATCATCCCGACATGCAAGGTTGCAGGTTCGATCCCCGGTCAGGGCACATATAAGAATCAATCAATGCCCTTGCCGGTTTAGCTCAGTGGATAGAACTTTGGCTTGTGGACTGAAGGGTCCCCGGTTAGATTCCAGTCAAAGGCACATGCCCAGGTTGCAGGCTCGATCCCCAGTAGGGGCCATGCAGGAGACAGCCGATCAATAATTCTCTCATCATTGATGTTTTAAAAAAGAATCAATCAGCCCTGGCCGGTTTGACTTAGTGGATAGAGTGCCAGCCTGCAGAATGAAGGGTCCTGGGTTCAATTCCGGTCAAGGGCACATGCCTGGGTTGTGGCTTGATCCCCAGTAGGGGTCGTGCAGGAGGCAGCCAATCAGTGATTCTCTCTCATCATTGATGTTTTTATCTCTCTCTCCCTCTTTCTTCCTCTCTGATATCAATAAAAAAATATATATATTTTTAAAAGAATCAATCAATGAATACATAAATAAGTGGAAGAACAAATCAATGTTTCTCTCATTCTCTTTTCATCACTCACTAAAAATCAAAAAAGTAAGAAAGACAAATGAAGGAAGAAAGGAAGAAAGGAAGAAAAAGAGAAAGAGAGAGAGAGAGAGAGAGAGAGAGAGAGAGAGAGAGAGAGAGAAAGAAAGAAAGAAAGAAAGAAAGAAAGAAAGAAAGAAAGAAAGAAAGAAGAAAGAAAGAAAGATTGATTCAACAATTGAAAGCTGCTGTCCAGGGGCTCTGCCTCCAGAAACCATGTACCAAAGGCCACTTGAACTAAGAAGCCCTACTGGGGGGCTGGCCCTGCCATCAGAATTGGTGAAAGCCCCAACCAAGCCTTCAAGGAGGGGCTGCCCGGTTTGGTTGGGGGGGTGGGTCATGACCCAGGGCCGCCATCCTGTACTGGGCTACCATGGTCACCACCTGTGTCTCTCTGGACTCTGATTTCCTCCGAGCCTACCAAGGCACAGTTCCCTCAGCCACCTGTCAGGAATCGTGGGCTGGTGCTCTTTAAAACCAGAGGTGGAAAAAGCAGCCCCACCATTCCCCCAGGACTATCTCCATGAAAGCACAACTTTTTCTGCCCACAAACCATATCAGCTTCTAAAAAATAAATCTCCCTGTGGCCAGCTGGGGGGTGGGGTGGGGAATGTCCAGCCCCTGAGTACTCAGGCTGCCGGGCATCTGGTGCCCTGTGCACGAGGGACCAGAGACCTCCATTCAGGCAGTGCTGGTTGACCCCCCCAACACCCAGGGCTCTCTCCCACCCGGGGGCTCCTGGGTCAAGTCAGGACCAGCTAAACGGAACTTTCACACCACAGCCCACTCCCACCCCGGGTGAGCTCCAGGATGCTCACAGGAGATAGTACTATTATCTCCACGTCACAGGGGAGAGGGGCCAGGCACTGAAACCACAGAGAACGCCGCCTGTTGGGGCCACACAGCCCGCTGGGTCAGAGCCGGCCCTGAGGCCAGGCTGCCCTCTCCCCAGCTCAGTGGGTCAGAGTGAGTCAGGCCTGGGGTGTGCAAGGCTCCTGAGGCTGCGGTGCCAGGGCCACCTCCAAGTCCCCGTAAGCTTTCCTTTTTCCCACTTACCCGAGCCTTCATGCTGTGGCTGCCGCTCAGCAGCAGGGGGGCTGCTGTCTCCAGGCCTGGGAAGGGGTGGGAGCCAGGCACCTGTCAAGACCCAGAAACTCAGGGCTGGGTCCCAGGCCTCAGAGGAAACTTCCCAGGGAAACTGAGGCAGGGGAGGGTACTGGCCGGGGTCAAGGCAAATATCTTCTGAAAATCGAAGTCCCCGAACGCCAGGCAGCGCTGTCCCCAAACACCAGGCAGCGCTGTCCCCGTCCTTTGAACACTTCCACCAACCCAAATCCCACTGTGCAAATGAGGAAGGAGAGGCAGAGAGGGGGAAGCCCGGGCTCAAGGTCACCCATCGAATCTGGGTCAGATGGACCCAGGAGCCAGGCGCTCCGGCTCCCACCCACCCTCCACCTCACTACCCGCGGGGCATGCAGAGGCCTGGGGAGAGACTGGAGGATTTCCGCCCCTCTACCCGTTTCCACCGCTCCCTCCCCCCGCCGAGCGCTAACCGCGCGGGCAGGTTGGGACCCGCCGGCTGCTCTTGATCCGCTGCTCGGAGCTCCATGGCCGCGGGCCGGGTGAGCCGGGCTGGAACCCCGGGCCTCGGGGCACAGGGGGCGCCCCTGCCGCAGCTTTGGCTGCTGGAAGGCGAAAGTGCGCTGCCGGCGGCGGGGGCGGGGTCAGCGACTCCCGGGCGGAGACTGGGGCGGGGCGGGGCCAGAGCGGCGGGGGCGGGATCAGCAAATCTCGGGCCGAGACGGGGGCGGGGCCTAGTGGAGTGGGCGGGGCTACGAGCCCGGCCAGCGCTGCTTGGGAGGGGCCTGCGCTGCCAGTTGCCAGGCCTTCGGGGGATGAAGGCGGGGCCTGCGGGCGGGAGCCGGGCCACAGCACCCCGGTGGTGTCTGAACTCAGCATCCGCCCCCATCTTTTCCGTCCTGCCACATTTGTCTAAGCTCCTGCCCAGCTCGGGCTGAGCGGCCCACAGAGGAAAGTCTTTCAGAACCGCTCAATCATGGCTGCCTGGCCGTCTGGACTTGAGTTTCTCCATTTCTGAAACTGGGGAGTCGGTAGGAAAATTAAACAGGGGCTTGGAGTCAGGCAGCCCTGCGTTTCAGGTTGGTAGGGTCGTCAGTAAAATATGGAACACCCAGTTTCTTTGGAATTTCAGATAAACAACGAATAGTTAAAAATCTGAAATTCCGCCGAAACCGGTTTGGCTCAGTGGATAGAGCATCGGCCTGCGGACTGAAAGGTCCCAGGTTCGATTCCGGTCAAGGGCATGTACCTTGGTTGCAGGCACATCCCCAGTAGGAGATGTGCAGGAGGCAGCTGATTGATGTTTCTAACTCTCTAACTCTCTCCCTTCCTCTCTGTAAAAAATCAATAAAATATATTTAAAAAAAAAAATCTGAAATTCCAATGCCACTGGTGTCCTGCACTTTCTGTGGCAACCCTACTTGGACTGTCTCTGATGGTGTGACCTTCACCTGAGCCTCAGGACTGCTCTGTGAGTGGGGTCATAGCACTTGCCTCCCTCCTAGTGAGATAGTGCAGGACGGCCTGTGGCAGTCAGATCACCCCTGGGCATCTCACTCCAGATCCAGGGCTCTGACCGCCACCTTCACTGTCCAAAGCGCCTCCAAATCCAACACAACTCAGTCCAGGCCCCTGCAGGTGCTGAAACGTGTCCCATCTGAAGGCTCAGTTGGGGTCCCTTAGAGATTTCAAACCCAAGTGCCTTCAGGGGGTCAGATATTGGGACAATAGGGAGGGGTGGGCCTTGTTGGTGACGTGGAAAGCATACTTTCCACTTAAAGTGTTGTTTTTACAAAATACTTCATGGTCCTGGCAGCTCATCTTACCACACCCACCACACCCACCACCCTCCGTGGGGCCTGGCCTGGGCACCAGCCTGTGCTCTTGCTCTGGCCCCATTTCAAACTCCAGGTTCTGGTGTGGGCACAACCCAGGGTATTCACGTTGGGTATCTGCACTCAGCTCAGTAACAAGGCTCCCCTGCTCTGGGTGCAAAGCCATGTCCCCCAAGCTGGTGTTCCAGGCCTCTGGGTCTCTCCCCATCCTCGCCCTGGGCACACCTCTAGGGCAGTGGTCCAGGTTCAGCCTCTCTCTGTGGCCTGTCATTCACACAAGGCAAAGCGCACAGCGAGTCCCCAAACCAGAGCCCTTCAGCCTCTCCCTGGTCTTCCTCTGTCCAGTTTCTGTTTTCATAGACCCAACCCCTAGGGGACAATGGTGAGAAGTTCCTTCATCACCCACATTGGCTGGTGAAATGACAATTCCTCCCCCAAAGAGGCAACTCCCTCCTCGCTAGGGCCACGTGGAGACAGGGACATGCCCAAATGACCTGGGCTCCCAGAGCAGGTGAGGGCCCGACATCCACAGACGGACACTGGGAATCCCGTCCCCCAGTTTCAGATGAAGCTCTTTAATTTGCTTTTGACAGAAGCCTACTCCCCTTACCCCGGCCAAGGCCCTGCAGTTTGAACTCCTGACTCCCACTTAATCACCATCCACCCACCTCCCTCACCTTTCCAACCCCCAATCACACTGAGCTCTTTTCTAGCTCAGGGACTTTGCATTTGCTATTCCTCTACCTGGACTGCTCTATTCACGTGGTCAGCTTCCTTCTCATTCAGTTCAAATGTCACCTCCTTGGCAACCACTCTACCCAACACTGCACCCCCATCCCTCCTGACCCACCTTGATTTATCTTTTTCAAGTACTTGTCACACTCTGAAATCATCCTGTGTGGTAACTGGTTTTCATGCTCATGGTCTACCCACCTATTTATTATACCCTAAGCTCTGTGTGAGCACTTAGGCCAGTCATGTCCTCAAGGCATTTCCAGCACCTGCACAGAGCCCAGCACCTACGATGTCTGTTGAATGAGCCACTTAGGGGAGTCAAGAGTCTGGGCCCTGAGAGATCTGGGACAAGGCATTTCCCTGTCCAGCGTCAGGCCCTGCCTCAGCTCGTTGCCAGAGACCCAAAGGGAGTGAGGGGCCGAACCATCCTTATCTAGGACTCTGGGGCTCGGACTCAGCCGTGTGGATACAAACCCCAGGGAACTGTGGGCCCAGTTTCCTGCTGTGCTGCCCGACCACCAGGAATTTCCACAACCCGCCCACCTCCCGGGAGGGCAGTGAGCTGCACACACCCGATGTCTCAACTTCCTGCTGAGTCAGAACCAGAAATTCTCCATGGCTTGTGCTAGCTCGGGCAGGTTGTCACCCAAGGCCACCCAGGTATCTAGGGGGGATGTCAATTACTTATCTATAGCTACATCTAGAGATATCTGTATCTGTATCTAGATCTATATCTCTACCTCCAGGAACCACACTCCAGTTCTGCAACATAAGCTTTCCCTTTCCTCCTCCTCCCCTATCAGCCATTTTTCTTCCTTTTCTCGGAAGGCCAGTGGAATGGCAGTGTTTGGTGTAGCTGAGAGGCTTTCCCGAGTCATCCAGTCCTGGGGGCCAGCTCTTGGCCCACACAGCTCCCCACCCACCATACTGTCCCCACCCACTCTCAACACCAACCACTGGGAAATGTTTTTTATTCCAAACTAGAGGCCTGGTGCATGAAAATTCGTGCACTTGGGGTGGGGGATGTCCCTCAGCCCTGCCTGCACCCTCTCATAGTCCAGGACCCCTTGGAGCAGTGGTTCTCAACCTGTGGGTCGAGACCCCTTTGGCGGTCAAATGACCCTTTCACAGGGGTTGCCTAAGACCATCCTGCATATCAGATATTTACATTATGATTCATAACAGTAGCAACATTACAGTTATGAAGTAGCAACGAAAATAATTTTATGGTTGGGTCACAACATGAGGAACTGTATTTAAAGTGCCAGAAGGTTGAGAACCACTGCCTTGGAGGATGTCTACCCTGCCAGCTTAGGCCTGCTCCTCAGGGGATCAGGCCTAAGCTGGCAGTCAGACATTCCTCTGGCAGCCTGGGAGCGCTCGGGGGATGTCTGACTGATGGCTTAGGCCCGCTCCCCGCGGATATCCCAGTCGGACATCCTGGCTTCTGGCTGAGTGGTGGGAGCACACCGACCACCAGGGGGTAGCTCCTGCATTGAGTGTCTGCCCCTGGTGTTCAGTGCGCATCATAGTGACCGGTCATTCCCCATCGTTCCTGGTCAATTTGCATATTACCCTTTTATTACATAAGATGTCAGGCACTCTCTCACCCCAGCCCTTTGCTGTACCCTTAGCCTAGGACCCTCCCAGCGCCTGACAGTTGACTCTTCTGATCTCAGTTTAGAGATTAGAAACAACCCCACCCATCAACTACTGAGGTGGGGGCCCCTTCCCTGAGCTCCATGGCCTCATGGTCCTTCACAAGGCTTTGTTACACCAGGACGCTTTTGTCACCGCCTCCCACCCCCACCCCAGACTGAGTTCTGTGAAGGTGAAATCTGTGCTCCACTCCCACGTCCCCAAAGCCCAGCCTGTTACATAGCAGGTGCTCAATAAATATTTAATGCGTTAATGAGGTCCATTTTCATCCTTCCATCTTACAGATTAGATCGCTGAGGCACGGAGAAGGTTAACACCGTGCCCTGGTCACACAGTCAGGCCCCAGAGCAGCACTAGAGGAAAGGCCGGCTTGGGCATGGTCAGATTGGACTGAGGTCAGAGGCCGGCTGGAGTCTCCTGGAGGAGGGAGAAGGAATGGTCAGGGGCTATGCAGACACTTTGCTTCTCTGCTCCTGGTGATGTCTGTTTGGCAAGGGCCCTTGGTCTGCCCACCATCCCTACCCCCATTTCTCAGATGAGAATAGTGACTATCAGAGGAGGGCAGAGCTTACTCAAGATCAACATAGTGCTTCCCAGAGCTGCAGGCCCCCCAATACCCCACCTTCTCCTACCTGCATCCTTAAAGGGCCCTTCTTGAGCCAGGGGCAGGGGATAGGGAGGCCTGGAGTTCCGGAGCTAGCCTTGCCACTTACCCGTGCATACGCCCCTTAAAATCTCTGGGCCTTGGTTTCCCCATCTGTACGACAAAGGGCCTGGGCTGGAGCCTTCAGCCTCCCCGCTTTCTGAGAGCATGAGGACAGGGCTGTGGGAGCTGGTAAGAATACAGGCTCCTGAGTCCAAAAGGCACAGTCGAGTCCTGGTTCCAGCATTTACTGCTGAGTGATCTTGCTCAGTCCCTTCACCCCATGAGCCTCCATCTCATGGTCTGTGAAAAGAGAATAATAGCATTTTTTTTTTTTTTGAGGATAAAATGAGCTAATATGGCGAGTCCCTGGCAAAATACCAGCCAGGCACAGCATCACCATTAAATAAGGTTGTCATATTAGTTGGAGAATGCTGCCCTCTGGAGGCCCTCTGGAGGAACAGCAGGCTGGGGGAGCCCGATCAAGCTGGCACATGCATTCCGGGCCTGTGCCCATTGTCCAGATGGGGAGAGCGCGGCCCCGCGCCGGTCACTCGGTGTGCTCCTCCACCCACTGGCAGAGGCGACGGGCGTAGAGAGCCGGGCTGACGGTGGAGAAGGCCCGGTTGGGGTAGCGCAGCGCCTTCCACAGGTACTCCAGTCGCTTGCGGAGCCCGTAGACGGTGGCGAGGTCCACAAGGCCCAGGAAATAGCGTTGCTCCGGGCCGTCCAAGATGTGAAGGGCGTTGGGGCCATCAGGCAGCAGCCGAAGGTTCTGCGCTCCCGGCTCATCCAGGCTCTGTACCCCTTGCACAGACCTAGGGGCCGACAGAGGGGTGAGGCAACCACCGCCTTCAGGGGCTCCAGCCAACTGACCCTGTAAACGTGGCCAGGCTGCCCTTGGGTGGCGCTCTGCCCTAACCCTGTGCTTCCCTTGCTCATTTCAGACCTCTGAGCGCCAGGCCGGTGAAGTCAGATCAACCGAGTAAAGTGTAGTTAATGGTCTAGAGTTGCACTGGCCAATATGTAGCCACTTGGGGAATAAGCCAATGAGAGGCAAGTCCCGCCCAGGCATCGACCAATCAGAACTCAGCGGTCTAGAAGCCCAGTCAGGACGCTGGTATCTGCAGTGCCAAGGTAATAGGGATGATGGAGAGATGGAGATGGGGGTGGGGGTGGGGGTAGGAGTATTTTTAAAAAATATATTTTTTATTGATTTAAGAAAGGAAGGGAGAGGGAGAGATGGAAACATCAATGGTGAGAGAGAATCACTGATCGGCCGCCTCCAGCACGCCTGTGTGGGG